TTCATTCATATTAACATTTTGCATGGGCCGGGGTTGATCCTATCTCCGGGCACATTTTCAGAGTTCAGACAATGGGCCAGAGATAAGTCAACCGAAACCTGGAAAGAAGGATTGATTAACCCAACCCATGGTATTTGTGTAAGCTCCTTTGTGATTAAGGGTCCCCTTGTCCACAGAGTTTGAGATCCGAATACCACCAATAGCCCCTTTTCATGCCTATACACATCTGTAATCAGAAATCAGGAAATCCTTTGTTTCTTCCGTCTGCCACCCCACAGCTTAGAACAAAAGTTCTCAATCGGCTGGCGGACACCTCCCAGGCACTCCGCCCCCTATGAGCTGTCAAACCAGGTCCCACCTCCTGGTCGCTGATTGGACCATCCTCAGAAGCGCTAGAAAGGCTCCGATTGGCCCCCTGGAGGCAACAGCGCCCGGCGATTGGAGGGAAGGCGGGACATACGGCCCGGCCTCCTCCCAGCTGTTCCAGGGACAGCCAATCAGGACGAAGCCAGCTGACGGAGGGTGGGCGGGATTTTCAAACTGTTTTTCCTTTGTTCTGACAATATAAAAATGCCTGTAACTCCTATGAATGTATGCTTATGGTGGAAATATCCCTGTAACGCATCCTTTTCAGCTGAATCGCAGAAATAAACGCTTCGGTCACTGGATACCTCTTCAGCCTCTGGTGAGATTGATTGCTAATACTTCGCGCTTTGGATTGGCTCCTGCTGGCCGCTCACCAAGGACAGGGACCCCTTTAGCGGTCTCCAGGGATCTCCCTCACTGGGAGAAGCCCCCCAAAAGAGCTCGATATCATCAGCAGGGAGGGCGTTCCACAGCCGGGGGGCCACCACTGAGAAGGCCCTCTCTCTCGTCCCCGCCAGGCGTGCCTGTGAAGGCAGGCGGAATCGAGAGAAGGGCCTCCCCAGACGATCTCAAGGTCCTCGTGGGCTCATAGGCCAAGATGCGGTCCGAAAGGTATTTTGGGCCGGAACCGTTTAGGGCTTTGTAGGATAACACCAGCACCTTAAATTGGGCCCGGTAGCAAATCGGCAGCCAGTGGAGCTGGGACAACAAGGGCGTTGTATGCTCCCTGCGTCCCGCTCCCGTTAGTAACATGGCTGCCGCGCGCTGAACTAGCTGAAGCTTCCGGGCCGTCTTCAAGGGCAGCCCCACGTAGAGAGCGTTGCAGTAGTCAAGGCGGGATGTGACCAGTGCATGTACCACCGTGGCCAAGTCAGACTTCCCAAGGTACGGGCGCAGCTGGCGCACGAGCCTAAGCTGTGCAAATGCTCCCCTGGTCACCCCTGAAACCTGGGGATCCAGGGTCAAAGATGAATCCAGGGTCACACCCAAGCTACGAACCTGCGCCTTCAAGGGGAGTGCGACCCCGTCCAGCACAGGCTGTAACCCTATACCCTGTTCGGCCTTGCGACTGACCAGGAGTACCTCTGTCTTGTCTGGATTTAATTTCAGTTTGTTCGCCCTCATCCAGACCATTACAGCGGCCAGGCACCGGTTCAGGACCTCGACAGCCCCTTCCTACGGACATTAGACTAGCACCATCTCTAATGGTATTCCGCAAAAAAGTGAAGACCTGGCTGTTTGAGCAGGCGTTCCAATAATTAGTGCAATGATTGGTTAATGAACACTGGAATGGAACAATGGATGACGAATCTGGAACATGTTTTTGATGACGAGATGACAGTGAATGGGTATTGTAGTAACTGTTTATTAATTGTGTAATGTGTTAGGTTGTTAACTGTTTCTATACTGTAGCACTGAATTTTTGCTGTTCGTATTTGTTGTGAACCGCTGTGAGTCGCCTTCGGGCTGAGAACAGCGGTATATAAGTAAGGTAAATAAATTAAATAAATAAATAAATAAATAAACTCTCATGGAGTGGATGGGCAGCTTTGTTGACAAGCTGGAACGGAACATCCTGAAAACATATACCTAAACTTGAATACTGGTGGGGTTGGGGGACGGATTGATTTTGTCATTTGGGAGTTGTAGTTGCTGGTATTTATAGTTCACCTACAATCGATGAGCATTCTGAACTCCACCAACAATGGAATTGAACCAAACTTGGCACACAGGACTCCCGCAACCAACAGAAAATACTGGAAGGGTTTCTTGGGCGCTGGCCTTGAGTTTTGGAACTCACTGCCTGAGATTAGGCAAGCCCCCACCCTAGCAGGCTTTAAGAAAGATCTAAAAACTTGGCTCTTCCGATGTGCCTTTGGAGAGTGACCATATATCCCCTTTCTGTCTGTTCCATCTTGACTCATGATGCACTTTCCTCCATCCTTAACAAAGGCCTAACCCCACTGTTCGTCCTGGTTAGGCTCCTCCCTCACAAATACACTTTCTCCACTTCTATCTCATCCAGGGTTTTATCATTTTATCTTGTGCATTTGGCCTGCCCATTGTGTTTGACTTTTCATTATGTTATTTTGCACTATTTTATTATTCTGTTACTTTATGTATTTTATTGTGATGTAATTTTAATTGTTTTGTATTTTATTTTGCTGTATTGTATTTTCGGGCTTGGCCTCATATTAGCCAACCCAAGTCCCCTTTGGGGAGATGGTGACGGGTATAAATAAAGATTATTATTATTATTATTATTATTATTATTATTATTATTATTTGGAGTTGTAGTTCACCTATATCCAGAGAGCACTGTGGACTCAAACAATGATGGATCTGGACCAAACTTGGCACGGATACTCAATATGCCCAAATGTAAACACTGGTGGAATTTGGGGAAAATAGATCTTGACATTTGGGAGTTGTAGTTGCTGGGATTTATAGTTTACCTACAATCGAAGAGCACCCTGAACCCCACCAATGATAGAATTGGGCCAAACTTCCCACACAGAACCCCCATGAATGAACTCACTGGCATGACCCCCAGGTTGAGAAACACTGATATGTAGATTAATGCAGTTCAATCCCACTTTAATTGTCATGACCCAACGCTATGGAATTCTAAGAGGTTTTGTTTTACAGTGTTCTTAGTCCTTCTCTGCCAGAGAGTGCCAGTGCCTGTGCCACACCAAACTGCACCACATAGGATGTCATAGTATTGATCCAGGGTGGCTGCAAGTGGAGTCAAAACTGCATGAATTCTACAGTGGAGATGAACCCTTAGTAGCTTTTGCATGATTCCATGCAGCACTCCATCTTATATATGTACAATTACTTCTCTTAAAGAAGAACGTTTTTAAGAGAGAGCGGGAAGAAGTGCAGTAGGTTATATGTGATTATCAAAATCATCTCTACATAAAAGTTTATGAATGTATTTTTTGTCTCTTTGTACAGACCTACTCAATGAAGTGGCCCTCTGGGATGTCACTGGGAAAGCAAGGTGACGTGTATATGAGGAGGAGAGAAAAAGGAAAGGAAAAAGGAGGAAAGAACCCTACTTCCTCCAAGGTGAACTGAACCACCTAAACTGGCCTCTGCAGGCCAATGGATACTTCACCAGAGACATCAGAAAAGCTGCAAGACCGAGAACAAGCCACGAGAGGAAAGACAAAGATCCACTCAGAGGAAAAGTGTTCTTGCCATACATCAAGGGAACCACTGACCACATTGGGAAGCTGATGAAGAAACACAACCTACAAATGATCTTAAGACCCACTAAGAAAATCCAACAAATGCTACGTTCAGCAAAGGACAAGAGGGATCCTCTCACTCCTGCAGGAGTCTACCGTATACCATGCAGCTGTGGACAAGTCTACATAGGGACCACCAAACGCAGCGCCCAGACACGCATCAAGGAACATGAAAGGCACTGCAGACTACTTCAACCAGAGAAGTCAGCCATAGCAGAGCACTTGATGAACCAGCCTGGACACAGCATATTATTTGAGAACACAGAAATGCTGGACCACTCTAACAACCACCATGTCAGGTTACACAGAGAAGCTATTGAAATCCACAAGCATGTGGACAATTTCAACAGAAAGGAGGAAACCATGAAAATGAACAAAATCTGGCTACCAGTATTAAAAACTCTAAAATCAGGACAGTAAATAAAGAGCAACACTCAAACAGGAGAATTCCTGACAAGAATCAATCAGGGCCAGCTAATGCCTCTCAACAAAGGATTTCCCCAGGCCACAACCAACCAGGCTTTGAAGCTGCAGGGTCATTACATGCTAATCAAGGTGGTGAAGCAACATTCACACTTGGCTCAAACAGACAAGAGTTCTTTCTTCCACCCTGGACATTCCACAGATATAAACCTCACTTGCCTAGTTTCCAACAGAGCCCTCAATCTCTGAGGATGAGGATGCCTGCCATAGATGTGGCTGAAACTTGAGGAGAGAATGCCATACAACATGGCCGTACAACCTGGAAAACTCACAACAACCTGAAGAGGAAAGAAGTGAAGGAAAAGAAAGGAAGAGGAAAGGAAGGAGGAAAGGAAGGAAAGGAAGAAGAGGGAGGGAAGAAAGAAAGAAAGAAAGAAAGAAAGAAAGAAAGAAAGAAAGAAAGAAAGGAAAGAAAGAAAGAAAGAAAGAAAAGGCAGGAAGGGTGGGGGGTGAAAAAGAGGGGGTGAAAGCAGGGGGTAGTGGTCCTGGCACTTGGTAATGCTAGTTGTATACACTATTTTAACTGTTTTACATTATTTTAATTAGGCTCTATGTTTATATTTTGATGTTTATAGGCTACAGACTTTAATATTTCCCTTTAATGCTGTGAGCCACTCTGTGTCTCAATCAAATGATAAAAGTAAAATAATAATAATAATAATAATAATAATAATAAAAATTAAAACACATACATATCCATCCAGTTAAGCAGAGCGATTTATTTAGGATACTTAGAAAAGATAGGCACTAGATATTACTGTTAATATGAAAGGCAACCCTATCTTTCCAGATGCTGCATTTTCTAATGACTTGATAACAGTAGATGACGAGTCCTAAGGTGCACTTTACCAGGCTACTGTGGAAACAACGAAGAGTTTAGCTACAGTTCTCAATAACACTGCTACTAGAGACATAAACATGTTGGGTTTAAAACTTAGTCTTTCACCATGCAAAGCAATTGAAAGCTTTCAGACAATAGAACCAAACTGTAGTGCAGATATGCATAGCAAAGTAGAACATGATTATCTGGATGAGGGCAAAATGGGAACAGTTGGTGGCATGCAGCTGGATGCTTTGACTCAAAACGCCCAAGTGGAATTGAGTTGTTAAGTCAGATGTTTGTAACTTGGGGACAGCCTATATATTCCTCAGCCTCAAAGTCTGTCCATCCCCAGCTTCTGATAGATATCACAGAAAAGTAATCTTTGGCTTCCACAAATTCAGTAAAGGTAGGTCTATCTCAATGCGTACCTCTATGTGCATGAAGATAGAACACAATCTAGTAAATGGTAAGACATGCTTTCAAAAAGTGCTTAGGCAGAGGATGAAATATGGTTTCAGTCTCACAATGTGGCACAACATTGCCACCTTTTGGTCCTCCCAGGATCAGCAATAGTGATCTCAACTTTGTTTTGTCCTTTCTCAAAAGACTGAAAACTCATTTTTGGCAAATATATTCAATCCATCTTACTGAGTAAAATCTGTAAACAAATGCATGACTCCCACTTGACATACAAAATCTACTCTTATACATCACTCACCTCAACCTATAGCAAAAACATTACTATGGCAGCCAAGAATATGTGCACTTATCAATCACACACAGAAAGGCTATGTATGTGCAAACATAGGAATATACAGTATGACTCCTGCATCTGCAGTACCTGTGGTTTCATTTACATCTGACAATATATGTCCTTCCTTGGTATTTTCTAAGCCTTCCGGGTGATGCTATCGTATGCTTCTGCTGGAATTTGGCCACGAAGTCATACTGGAGGACCTAACTATGACTAGAAAGGTGTCTGTTCTAGGCATTTCCTAGGTTCTCCAGTGTGACTTTAAGGTATGCTTCCACCAGAAGTCATCAATTCAATAGGGTTTGCTATTATCTGCAGTTAAGTGTATCCAATGCAAGCCCTGGGGCATATCATTCCCCACTGATACAGGGTATATGGTTTTACTCTAAAGGAGGATTGGATAAATTGCTGAATGGGGCCCATATGGCACAAGGGAAGAGAACCTGCGGTATATGGATGCTTCCAATCTTCCCCTTGATGGGGAAGAAAGGTACACTGTCTCTGAAATAGGGAACATTTTCTTACATGATGCAAACCTTTGTAATTGGATAGGCCAAGGGCACTCAAAAGGGACCGTCTTTATGCAGAATGGGGCAAGGAACTTCAGATGTACCCCTGAATGGAGAAAGAGGAAATGAGCATTAGGGAAATTGTTGTTGTTGTGTGCCTTCAAATGTTCCCGACTTGTGAAGACTTTCAGCTAAACCTGTCATAGGGTTTTCCTGGCAAATTTTGTTTGTGGGGGGGGAGGGGTTGCTGTAGTCTTCCTCTGAGGTTGAGAGTGTGTGACCTGTGGAAAGTTATCCAGTGAGTTTTCATTGCTGAACACTGTTCTCCAAAGTCACATTCAAACACTCAAGCCACTACACCATTACAGAAGGGGTGGGGCTAAATAACACAAGGGGAGACTATCATCCAGACTGCTTGGTGAGTCCTGGGGACCAGAACAGTCTAGGATCTAAGACAACTATCTCTCATTATTGCTTGACCTTTTCTCACACCGCAGGCCTTCCCATCCACTATAGCACCGACACTTGAATTCTTCAATCATCTTGACCAGATCCTCCTTAGACAAGTAACCTGTCAGAATGAAACCTGGCTCCTTGGGGTGCTTAGTGATGGTGTAGTGATCAGGACTGAGATGCAGGAAAGCTTCTGGGTGATTGTCCTGCCGCACGCAACGGCCATTCTTGGAGCACACAACTTGGCTGCATAGCTTGGCACTGCTGGTTACATTCACAATGTATGGGCCAAGCAGAGTGTCCACATACTTCTTCACTCCAAGACAGGCTTCCTGAAAGTTAAAAAGCACATGGTCCCAGAAAAAGGTTTAATCTTTGAAGGGATAATAAAATACATTATAAAATTGGAGTGGACTTCAAGGTCCAACTTCCTGGCTAGTATTGCAAAACCGCCCCCAAAGCACCCTAGACAGATGGCCATCCAACAGCTGAAGTGAAGAAGAGTCCACCAGCTTCCAATACACACTGCTTTATTGTCAAAAGGTTCTTAACATCAGAGTAAGTGGTATTCTCCCTTAAGGCATGGGTGAGGAAGCTTTTCCCCTCCAAAAACCAGACTGATAAAATCCCCAGAAAATGTGTCCCATACTTTATGCAAAAATCATATTACATGAAGAATCCTGAAATGGATCCCTCATGAAATACACAGCCTTACTGTACATACATGTACTACCTCTAAATACAGATGGAGGAACAAAATAAGAATCAAAACAGTGTGTTTGGGAGCCTAGATCCCAACTATAACCAGACTCTAGGCCTCTTGTGTTTCTGACACCTCCAAGCAATTCCCTTGACTTAAGACAGTATACCCAGAGAGTTACAAAATTCTTCTCCCAGTTTCTGACTGATTAAATGGCAGATCTTTAAATCCCCTTTTTATCCTTCCTCCAAGAGCCCACCGTGACATACTAAGTTATCCCACCTTCCACAGTTGTTCTTACAATAACCCAATGAGGTTAAGTTACAGTGAGAGATACAGACAGGCCTAGGACTGCCTACCCAGCAAGCTTCACCCTTTTTTACAGTACTTGGGTCAAACACAAGACAGATTTATTGTAATGGAATTATTGACTGATAGCTGGTTCTATATCATCTATTGTGTGTCATTTGCCACAGCTGACAGACAACTTATGGGCATTTGTTAATGATGTGTCTGAATGACAAGCAAAGTGAGTTTGAATATTTAATTTAGGGTCCATTTTTATAAATATTGTATTTTGCCAGTTGACAAATTAAGGACTAAAAGTTCTTCTTAGTGGCCTTTGGCTGCATGCAACAAAGTTTTATCAGTATCAAAGTGTGGACTCAACCTTTTAACAATCTTACCACTACACAACACTGGCTCTTACCTGTGAATAACTGTAATTGGAGCTCCCCCATAAGATGACCCCAGCTGCCCCTTGAGAAGCACTCTCTCCAATGGTGTGGGCTAGGTCCTCCTGCAGGACAGATGAAAGCAAACAGCATGAGAACGCAAGCACTCTCCTACCAGCCATCTAGACTCAAGCATCCTAATGAAGACATCTAGACACTGCTACTAAGGAGCTGAAATAGCAGCCTTTTGATAATACTGGTCATAGAAAAGACAGCATATTAGTAAACGGGTTAAGAACCTTTACTCCATTCCTTTGATTAATAGGGTGTTCCTATTTATTTTTAAAGGTCTAAGTTAAATAAGACTGCATTCTTTTATTTCAGTGGATTTTTTGGAATCATTCATTATCCAGATCCATTTTATAATACCTCTTACACATTGTTTTTCTCAATACACAGGTGTGGGAAACTCATGGCCCTATAGACATTGTTGGACTTTGATTCCCAAGTGTTCTAATCAGTAATAATAATAATAATAATAATAGTAACAACTACTACTACTACAACAATAAAACTTTATTTATATACCACCCTATCACCCCAAAGGGACTCAGGGTGGTAGATCCAAGTCAAGAATGAGGGGTGATTTAGTCCAGCAACATCTGCACATCATCCCTCTTCTAAGGTGGGGCATATTTTCGTCCAGATTGTGCCAACAATAGTTTGCTTATTTTGTGTCTTCAAATGTCTCCCTCCTAGCCAAGCCTTTTTCACTTTTTTCAGAAGTCAGCAATTGTCTTGTTCCATCCATGCTGTGTTCAGTTTCATCCTTTCTCTCACCAACCTGCTTTTCAGACTACACTTAAAGTCTCAGTAAAAAAGTATGTCCATCTCAGATTCTCCATAAGCATCTTTTCATCAGTCTTTGTGCACGCTTCTATGCTTCTATCAATGGAAAACCCTTTCAACTCCCCTCCTTAAGTAACTTCCTTTTATAATGTCATCACAGGACCTTTCTGAGATATTCTTTACTTTTGGCTCTTAACCAACTGTACAACTAAGCAACTTCCAGTATCTTACCTTCATTTTTATCCTGCTTTTTTTAATGACACACTTTAGCCATTTAAACAGCGGCTATGCTAACTCTATATTTTATAAAACACTTTTTGTTATCATAATTCTTAGCATTAATTGGAATGGGAACAGGGTATATGGGAGTAGGGAGTTTAGGGAGAAATTATAGTTATGTAATATCAGTTAGCATTAATACATTAAGATATTTTTTTATATTTTATATTATATGTATTTTGGAACTTATAATAAGCTCTAAAATATAAATCTCATAAATAAATAAGCAGTTGTGATCCGTGTAAAACTGAGGAATGGATCATCTAAGTGAAGTGATCAAAATAAGGATATTTAAAGATGATGATGGTAAGGAGGAGGAGAAAATATGGCTTTTGTTCTAAACCACCACCACAAGCACAGGAAACTTGACATTATTCATCTACATTATTTATGACTTCTAAAATGAAAGCAAAATGAATTTTCCCAGTTCATGTCATATTCATACCACAAAAATTTTCAGCCCTGACTCAATAACAAAACCTTATACTTCAAAAAAAGTGTCACGTGAAATAGAAAATGTAACATAAATCATGTGTTGATTTATGTTACATTTTCTATTTCAAGTAACACATGTGGCAGAAATTGAAAAATCAACATTTTCATTTAATCTAGCAAAATGCTGCTGTTCAGACTGATGTGCTGGGAGCATGCCATTTCCCAAAAGAAACATTAGAGCACATCTATCATCTGTGCCTCTATCAGTTGCAAATGTTTCGTGCTGAACGCAAGCTGAAACCAAGTCTCCAAGCACACACCACTGAAACCCACAAATCTTACTTCCAAATAATGCTTTACTTATTGAACATTTTATCAAATACTGTCCTGGGAAAAGCTTACCTGTGTGAGGAATATCTGAGTAAATTCATAAGCAAGGGAAGCATAAGGTAAGACTGGGATGCTGCCATTCCCTGATTGGTTCACCATCCTGAAAGCCTCCTGGATTCGAGGTCGGACAAACTTGAGGGTCTTGTTGCTGAGGAATTCAAGATCCCTGGGGAGATAAATGCTGGGGTACAGAGCTCGGCTTTGGTTCCAGAGCCACTGCAGTTCCTCATTCCTCTGTTTCTCGATCTCCAGACAGTCCCCTGTGTAACTTGCATTCTTGTAATCATAGTTATAGCAGCTTGGGAAACCATAGAAACCCCAGAAACCTTCAGGCCTCAGAGTTTTGCCGAGAGCCAAAGTTTGTTCCATGAATGCTCGGCCACTTTGCTCAAATTCTAGCTGGGCTGTCCTGGCCACTTTATCAGCCGGCCAGTCTGGATGTTTCTCCTTAACCAGGTCTATAGACTTATTCTGGTAGATTTCCATGGAATCCCAGTTCCGAACCCACAAAGGACGCCAGCTCTCCCAGTCCACCACGGCCAAGCCTTTGAAGTCCACCTCCTCAATGGCTTCCTTAATGTCCTGCTGAGCCTTCTGGAGATGATCTTTTAGACTGCCATTTTGTGGGAGACCCCCAAAGACTGGAAATCCATCCTCCGTGTAGTAAGGATAATATCCCAACCTGTTGCTGTAGAAAAGGGTGATATCCCCTCCTGAGAAAGATTCATTCTGGTTGAGGACAACATCAAATATTCCCAGGTCCAAGGAGACATTGTATTTCTCTTGGCAGACTTGACTGGGTGCATTCCAAACAGTGATGAAGGAATGATGTAGTATTGCTGGGCCTTTCCTGGCCAGTCCAAAGTCCCAAGGTGTTATAAAAACACTGAGGAAGAAGACCCAGCTTCCTGTCCAGTCTGCCACGATAATCAGCATTTTGAAACAGGATTTCCCCAAATTATTCCAGTCTTTGCATCCCTTTCGACACCAACAGCTTTGTGACAAAGGAAGAATGCGTGACTTCCAGTAAATGGGGAACTTTATTTCAAGAGAGGTGGAAAAAAGGAGTTGTTTTTTTGCAAAAAAAATAAAATCTTCCGTATCCCACTTAACGGATGAAAAAAACAGTAACAGAAGTAGCCACAAATTCTTGTCACTTCTTGTTGTTGTTCCTTAATCTGTTTACTATATTACCAAAGAAGAATCAAGCAATGAATAGAAACAAGAATCCTACAATAAACTGTGTTCCTGAAAAATTGCACTAACCTTTGATATTTGCTTTTCCAGTGAACACGGCTTTTGGTAGAGATCACTGTTATCAGAATAGCTGTAAAAGTAGTAACATTGGCTTATGCCAAAGCCAGTTTAACTTTCATTTAGAGTCATTTAGAGTCCTCATTACTAAAGATCTCAGGGTCACTCTCTCCAGGCAGATTGGATATATAAGTTCCAAAATGAATTGGTTAATGTTTGATACCCTAAGGAGAAAAAGGAAAAAGTGAGCACATAAGAGGTCAAAACAAGAATCTAGAGATCCCAGTTAGGAGTCTTAACACAGCAGAGTCCATCATTTGTCATCCCTTATTGAAAAAACTCTTGCAACAGCTCCAGCTGATGCCAAGCAAACAGTGGCTTGGCTACAACCACCTAGGAAGCTTGTAGCCAAAATGAGATTTTAATAGAATAAATCCTAGCTCTTCATTCACAATCTTAGTCACATGAAAAGAACCTGAAAAGATTAAAATTATAACAATCTATCAAACTGGAGCTTGAAAACTTTCTTTTTTGCACTTCAAATCCCGCAACTAGCCATGTTAGCTGGGGGATTCTGTCAATGGCAATTCCAACACTTATATATAAAACTAAGTTATATTGCTTGATTTCCAACTTTTACCATCCCCTCCCCCTGGTGAAAACAAAGATCCATAACAGCACTTCACAGACACATCTGAAAAATTCCCTATATATAGCTATACTTTAAGCCTTATTGCATGCTATTAATGGCATCCATGGCTGGCCAGCTTTTTAATACTAAGGAGTCATTTCTCATTTCCTTTTTATTCTTATTCAGATATATTAAATCATAGTTTGACTACAGAAATTCCTCTGTAGAAGTATTTCTATGCATTATTCCATTTATATATTTTGGATTGCAAAACCCATTAGTCCCAACCAACATGGTTAGTGGCTAGAGTGATTTTTTTTATCATGTAAGAAGTGACTTGAGAAATTGCAAGTCTCTTCTGGTGTGAGAGAATTGGTTGTCTGCAGGGACATTGCCCAGGGGATGCCCGGATGCTTTACCATCCTGTGGGGAGCTTCTAACTATACAATGTATCTGTAACTTGGCCTGACTGTAACCTATTTGTATGTGTAGCTTTGCTGGAAGCTGGAGCGGACAGACGGGAGCTCACCCTATCTTGTTGATTTGAACCGCCAACCTTCAGGTCAGCAGTTCAGCCAGCACAAAGGTTTAAACCCATTGCACCACTGCAGCTTGAGTGATGGGAGTTATGACATAAAATCTGTGCCTTGGTCTCATGTGGCAGAAAGATGTTCCACAGGATTTATGATTAAAGTACTTGGAACATACCTTTTGCAGTCCCTTCCAACCCTATGAGCTATGGTTTGATTGTACTTCAAATCCTGCAACTAGCCATGCTAGCTAGGGGATTCTACATGTCAACTACATGTCAAAAACAGCAATAAAAGTCAACAGAACAGTCAGAGCAAAGGCTTCCCAAAAGGGGTGTTGGGCCATTAGTTATAACATAGAGAGATGAAAAGTTTGTTGTTGTTGGTTGCCTTCAAGTTGTTTCTGACCTATGGCAACTCTAAGGGACTCCTATCATAGTATTGTTGTTTCACACTTGCCCATGACCAAAAGGAGCCTAAATGTTTTGATCTATTCCCCCACCCCCCACATGTTTAGAGGAAAAAATCACATTGTTTCCAACAAACTGGATATTTCGAATTTGTTTCCAGAATGTGTAATATTAGAAGATGACAGAAAAGTAGCAGCTAGTTAAGAAGCAGGAATTATCAAGATGTAGGATAATAAAAGACGACATTCATATTGAAGCACTGTCACCTGACCAAATTAAGTGCTAGTTTCCAGTTTCTGAGCAGGCAAAAGTCCAACCATCTTCCTTGGCCCAACTAAAAGATGTCTTTTTAAATTTTTTAATTGTGTTTTATTGTTTTATCCCACTCCCATCTTCCTCTCCTTGTCCATGCAATTTATACAGCAAATTACAGAAGTTACATTTGAAATATCAATCTCAATCTTATTTTTTTCCACTCCACATCTTGGCACATTCTCTAAATAATTCCTAACTGGTTCCCACATCCTCTTAATTATTGTAACCTTTTAGATTTTTTCTATATTATTCCATTTGCAGTTTGTTATTTCCACATTTAACATATTAACTATATACTTAAACCAATTCATCAGATGTATTGATCTCTCTCATTAGAACTCACAGGCTTCTCGGATGTTAAATCCTCACAGTTCTGCCTTATTAATCATCACGAGACCAGCTCATATGAAATCACTTGACTCTTTTTCTGTGAATCTACCAGTCACCGACAATTCCTTTTTATCTCCAATTAAGACCTGGGTTTTGTTTAACAAGAGTAAAGAACAGAAACTGAGGGAAAGAGCGCCCCCCAAATCCCACCCACCACAATCCCATTTCGGAAGTGGCCCGCGAGGACACCCACGTAGATAAGAGCAGGGAGAGATGCCAGGAAATGTTAGTCTTGGCTGTCAAGAGGAATACACATTTACAGTGCAATAAATTCTTATAGTAGTTGCAAAATCAACAGGAGACATTTCTGAAACTGTCGCTGGTGCGGCACACGAACACTCGGAAGCAAGCATCTATTTCACAAGATTGAACACAACAGAAAATTATCATTTTTATTGTTCTCACTGAATGCTACAATTAAAGGCAATAGTTATGATTTTGCATGCAGCCACATACACATCCAGATTTTGAATTGAGGACACCTAATTATTTATCAATATTGACATTTGTTTGATGATTTATTCATTCACCCAGCACTGCTGCCTCTTCGTATTGAATAATGTTGCAATAAGGATTTGATTGGAGTTACAAAGTGTTGGAATTCAACCCCACACTGCCCAGGTCTCAAGTCCTCAATGAGGAGCAGTTAGTTAGTTTAGTATAGATTAAGGGTTTCCCTTCCCCCATGTCTCCTGAATGACAGCTGGAAATGTATATCTCTTCTCCCTTTCTGCTCTCATTCTGATTTTTCTTTAATTGATACTTTTCTACTGCAAGCATTTTTGAATCTGCCTTCTGCCTTCTTACACTTTAGTATGGAGAGTATGTGCTGTGTGTTTTGAGATCTCTATGTGTATGTCAGGAGAAATGTAGCGATTGTTTTCCCCCTCTCTTTGAAACCTGAGAAGTGATGGATGTTAGAGTAGCTCAGGTTCAGTTCTTGATTATTAAGAAATGCAGTTATTGTTTATTATTATTGTAAATAAACCCTTTTGTGATTTTTAAGATTGGATTCTGCATGTTTGCCTCCTAAGCGCTTAATTCTTTATAGCCACATCACACGGCACTTCATGCTTTGCTCGCTAATCTGCTGAATGCTCAACTTTTGTATCCTGTATATGTTTTTGGATACTCTACTCTATTTTAGGGTAGTTTTCCGGGCAAAAATATGATAGCTGGGACCCAACGCTATGCTAGTTGCGTAAAATGCCTGTGAATTACGGAAGGGAAGAGGTGCGCGAGACAGCTGAGTGAGTGGTTGCCTCAGGGGTCAGATGCTGCTGCTCCTGCTGTTTAGGCTGGTCTTTGCAAAGCATGGCCCCAAGACTGGCTGGTGAGTGGAGTGAGATGGATTTCACCTGAGTTAAATTACTGAACGTGTTTGCATACGATATCAGGATAGCCTTAAGCACTATGCTTGGCTGTTTGTTGTTCCCCTCTCCTTTCTGCCCCCCCCTTTTCTGGCGAACTATCTTGCCAGAACTCTGTCACACCTGCGTCGTTCACTCGCTGTGCTGTCTCGCACACATGTTCCCCTCATTAATTCAGACCTGCATTATGCAACCAGCGTAAGATCCCAGCTACTAGCATAGGGTTCCAGCTATCATACTTTTGCCGTTTCCCCAAACACAAACTCCTCCTGAAGTTACAATTTCATGTTAGATGTTCAAATTGTCTTGCCTGCTTGCATAGCCAATTAACAGTGAGGCAAAGCTCCTGTAAAGTCTCTCTTACAATTTTGCAACACTTCTGTAGTATTGAAAGTTTTAATATTGTTTGGGGTGTATACATTTGGGGGGAGAGGATCCAGAATAATAAACTGTTAGGGTTTCACTGCTGCAATGCCAGCTTTCAAAACTTTGTACTTTTAAATGCATTACAACTGTACGCTCAGTTTGCTTTTGATACGATAAATAAATATGAGTTGTATTCATTTTATACACTGCCATGAACAGTAGCAACACAATTCCCTGCTGCAAGCAGTTCACAATCAATGCTGCAGCAAGGGGGGAGGGGGGAGTCAACGCAGAGCAAGGAAAGAAAGGGACCATTCACATTTTCCAAGTAAAGGGTATGACTCAAAGGAAGTCAGGCAGCCCTCATCTGGAAGGAACTGACAGGAAGCAGGTCCTTCCAAAAAAATCTCAGGCAGAAAGGCAGAGTATAGCTTTCCTCCCTGGATAAAAATGGGCACTTGCACATCCAAAGGCGTGGCTGCAGTTTTGAACTTCAGCTCCCAGAATCCCCTGACCATCGGCTGCGGATAATGGGAGCTGGAGTCCAGAAAAACCAAGGAGAGAAGGGCTTAGGTTGAGACCAACCTGGCTCTCTCTGCTCAGCTTTCCGGATGAAAAGAGCTTTTCTCCCTGCTTTCCTCCCCGCAAGAAATGCCTGCACTCCCCGCAAAGAGGGAGGGGAGGCCGAGGTGGGACACTGGCTTGTGGTCCCCATCCAAGGGATCTCCGAAAAGGGAGAAGCAAGCAAGCAAGCAAGCAAGCAAGGCGACTCACCGGGTGCCGGCAAAGCGGGATATGCCGCTCCCGCCCCTTTCCCAAACTTGGGCCCAATAGAAGGCGAGGCGCGGACGTCACTTCCAAGACCTCTGGGCCTCTTCAAGCGGCACCTGGACCTTCTTGAAGGCGCGCATCTTAAAGGCACAGTGGGAAATCAATCATGATGATGATGATGATGATGATGATGATGATGATGATGATGTCTGGTGGCAGAGGACTCTTACAAGTCAAACAAGCAGCCGAAGAAGAAAAACACGCCCTGGCAGAATATGCCAAGGAAAGCCAAGAACCTGCTTTAATTGAAGTCAATAATCGGAAACTTCTCAAAGCACAGCAGACAAAGAACCAGTACAAGAAAACTGCACTCCAAACCAGAGCTGACAACTGGTACAACAAAGCATTGCATGGGCAGTTCCTTGAGAAGATTGAAGGAAAAGTTGACAAGGAGAAGACCTGGATATGGCTCACAAATGGAACCCTGAAGAAGGAGACAGAAGGCCTGATTCTTGCAGCCCAGGAGGAAGCCATCAGAACAAATGCCATTAAGGCCAGGATCAAAAAATCAGTGGATGACCCAAAATGCAGACGGTGCAAGGAAGCTGATGAAACCATGGAGCATATCCTCAGTTGTTGCAAGAAAATCACACAGAACGACTACAAAGGCACAACTCTGTGGCCCAAATTATTAACTGGAACTTATGTCACAAGTACCACCTGCCAGCAGTAAAGAATTGGTGGGATCATAAACCCGCAAAGATAATAATAATAATAATCATCATCATCATCATCATCATCATCTTTATTTGTACCCCACCACCATCTCCCCAATGGGGACTCAGTGTGGCTTACATGACGCCAAGCCCAAACCCAAATTACAGCAGCATAAAACAGAAAATGCAACCCGAAAACGCAGACAGCAAGCAATAACATCATAATTACATAAAACATGTGCAAACATAAAGGTATAAAATTACAATAAACACAATCACAGGCGCAACGGGCGGCCTACATTGCGTGTTCAGCGTGGAAAATGAACACACAAAAATACTGTGGGACTTTCAAATCCAGACTAACAAAGTTTTGGAACATAATACACCAGACATCACGATTGTGGAAAAGAAAAAAGTCTGGATTATTGATGTCGCCATACCAGGTGACGATCGCATTGAGGAAAAACAACAGGAAAAACTCAGCCGCTATCAAGACCTCAAAACCGAACTGCAAAGGCTCTGGCATAAACCAGTACAGGTGGTCCCAGTGGTCATTGGCACACTGGGTGTCGTGCCAAAAGATCTCAGCCGGCATTTGGAAACAATAAACTTCGACAAAATCATGATCTGTCAACTGCAAAAGACCACCTTACTTTGATCTGTGCGCATCATTCGAAAATACATCACACAGTCCCAGACTCTTGGGAAGTGTTTGACTTGTGATTTTTTTGATACAAAATCCAGCATATAGATCTCGTTTGCTGTGACATATTGTGTTTTTGTGTCAGTATAATAATAATAATAATAGATTTTATTTATTTCCCGCCTCTCCTGATAATTGGAGGAGGGACACAATAAAGGAGCAGAGAAGGCTGAAGGCTTTGTGGAACTACAACTCTAAAGACTCTATGGCAGGCCTGGGCAAACTTGGGCCTTCCAGGTGTTTGGGACTTCAGCTCCCACCATTCCTAATAGCCTCAGCCTTTTTCCCCTCAGCCGCTTAAGCGAGGAAAAGGAAAAGGAAGGGGCTGAGGCTATTAGGAATGGTAGGAGCTGAAGTCCAAAACACCTGGAAGGCCCAAGTTTGCCCAGGCCTGCTCTCAGTATGGAGCTGCTGAGCCAAAAGCCCAAAAAGGCATCGGAGGGAGGGAGAGAGGGACCCTCCCTTTTCCTTCCACGTCTGGTTTCTATTAAAGGCCTTCCGCTTTTTGGCTTGAACTGAGAAAGCCAATGGAGAGAAGGAGGGAGCCGTCAAAAGGAAGCAAGAGCCTCGGCTTCTGGAAACAAGGCTCAGGGCTTTGCTGCCCACTGGAGTCTTAACCCTTCAGTGTCATTCTCTTTCAGTCAAAAGATCCCCAGAGAGGGTTTTGCTGGTTCCTTCCTCTGAAATAGAGCTTCTAGCAGCTTGTATCCGCAAAAGTATGATAGCTGGGACCCAATGCCGAGACAGCGCAGCGAGTGAGATGCAGGTCGGACAGAGTTGTGACAAGATAGTTTGCCAGAAAAGGGGGGGCACAGAAAGGGGGGGCAACAAACAGCCAAGCATAGTGCTTAAGGCTATCAGGATATTGTATGCAAACACGTTCCTAATTCTGACCCGCCTCACGCAACAAGGATTGGGTCCCAGCTATCATACTTTTGCCCTTGTATCCAATAGTGGTCTCCAATTCAAGGACTAAGCAGGGCTGACCCAGCTTAGCTTCCGAGATCAGATGTCATGGAATAATAGAGTTGGAAGAGACCATATCTAGTCCAACTCCCTGCCATACAGGAAAAGCACAATCAAAGTAACCCAGACAGATGGCCATCTAGCCCCTGGTGGCACAGTGGGTTAAACCCTTGTGCTGATAGGACTGAAGACAGGCAGGTCGCAAGTTCAAATCCGGGAAGAGCGTGGATGAGCTTCCTCTGTCAGCTTCAGCTCCCCATGCGGGGACATGAGAGAAGCCTCCCACAAGGTTGGTAAAAGATCAAAAATCCGGCGTCACCTGGGCAACGTCCTTGCAGACAGCCAATTTTTTCACACCAGAAGCGACTTGCAGTTTCTCAAGTCATTCCTAACACACAAAAAAGGCAAGGGATCATCAGAGAGGGTTTTGCTAGTTCCTTCCTCTGGAATAAAGCCTCTCTAGCGGCTGGTATCCCAATAGTGGTATCTCATCAAAGGGCTGATCCAGCTTAGCTTCCAAAATCAGATGTCATAGAATCATAGAGTTGGAAGAGACCACATGGGCCATCTAGTCCAACCCCCTGCCATGCAGAAAAAGCACAATAAAAGCAACCCAGTTAGATGGCCATCCAACCTCTGTTTAAAATAGTGGTTCTCGAGCTGTGGGTCCCCAGGTGTTTTGGCCTAAAACTCACAGAAATCCAAGCCAGTTTACCAGCTGTTAGGATTTCTGGGAATTGAAGGCCAAAACATCTGGGGAACCACTGGTTTAAAAGCTTCCAAGGAAGGAGCCTCTGCCACACTCCGAGGCAGAGAGTTCCACTACTGAACAGCTCTTACAGTCATGAAGTTCTTCCTAATGTTCAGGTGGAATCTCCACTGTTACAAGTCCTAGTCTCCAGGGCAACAGAAAACAAAACTCTAATATCCAGACAGTAAATAAAGAGGAACATTAAAAAAAACCAGGGGAATTCCAGACAAGAATCAATCAGGGCCAGCTAATATCTCCTAACAAAGGATTCCCCCCGTTAGCAACCAGCCAGGCTTTGAAGCTGCAAGGCCATTAAATGCTAATCAAAGTGGCCAGTTGCAAGATTCACATTGGCTTCAAGCAGACAAAAGTTCTTTCTCCCATCCTGGACATTACACAGATATATGAACCTCACTTGCCTAGTTTCCAACAGACCCCTCAACCTCTGAGGTTGCATGCCATAGATGTAGATGAAACGTTAGGAGAGAATGCTTCTGCAACATGGCCATACAGCCCGGAAAACTCACAGTAACCCAGTTACACACCTTTATCTGCCACATATGACTTATACACATTGTGGGCTCCTTGACATCCTAACCTGAAAAATAGAAAATGGATTTCAGACTGAGCTCTGTTAGTCTGGGAGATCAGTATGCAAAGGGATCTTATAGCACTTTAGCAACTGAGAGAATGAAGTTAGTAACTTAGGAAGTTTTGTAAACGAAGGGTGCATCTATACTGTAAAATTAATGCAGTTCGACAGCACTTTTAAGTGCCATGGCACAATGCTATGGAATCGTGGGAGCTGCAGTTTTACAAGGTCTTTAGTCTTTTCTGCCAAAGAGTGCTGGTGTCTCATCTAACTGCAGTTTTCATGATTCCATAGCATTGAAACCTGGCAGTTAAAGTCAAATATATGAGATGCACCTAAATTTGTTCCCTACTCTTTGTTGCTATGCAGGAACAGACTAACATAACTACCCTTTTTCAAACTGCTGCTAAGAACATATGGTGAATGTTACAGAGAATGTTACTTTCATTAATACTGTTTTGTACTTTTATAGTACAACTTATATATTTTTAGAAGGGGAACAATATGTGAAAGTACCATAAAGCATTGCATTATGCCTTTACTTATTTTTCATAACATTGAGCAGTTAAAGTGGGGTCAAACTGCATTAATTTGACAGTGTCAATGAACCCAAGTCAACCTCAACAACCCAGCAGGCTGCCCAAACAGAAAGCGCCCCCCTCCACCTCTCTCTCTCTCTCTCTCAGTCCCAATGGCTGAGGAGAAAGTCAGGAGAAGAGGTGACTTTTGGTGCACACGCCGGGGTCTTCAGGCACACCTCCGGACCCAAAGCGGGCCAGGCAAGGGAGCAAATGCGGCAAGTGTAGTTACTGGGATGTATAGTTCACCTTCAATCAAAGAGCATTCTGAACTCCACCAATGATGGAATTGAACCAAATATGGCACACAGAACTCCCACGACAAACAGAAATATATATATATATATATATATTATATATATATATATATATATATGTGTGTGTGTGTGTGTGTGTGTGTGTGTGTGTGTGTGTGTGTGTGTATATGTATATGTATATGTATATGTATATGTATATATATATCAACTAGCTGTGCCCTGCCACGCGTTGCTGTGGCCTATAGTAAAACTTATCAAAGTTGAGGTAGATATCTGGACTATTATGAAAGAGAGGTACCTACCTATTCCTTCCCCCTTTTCCTCCCCCTTTCTCTCCTTTCTTCCTTCTCTACCTCTTTCTTTCTTTCACTACTTGGTTTCATCCTTCTCTCTGTCCTTCATTCCCTCCCCCTTTCTTC